TGGCGGTTCAAACCCACCAGCCACTCCTCGGAAGGAAGGTTGGGCAATCCTACTTCCGTAGTGATACTGCCTCGGAAACCCAAGGAGGGGTCGTTATGAGTTGGGCCGACTCGATGGCACATAACAACAACAACAACAACAATGGTGTAAATTAGGAATACAACTTCATATATATATATATGTGAATTATATTATTATAGCCAATTATCCAAGGAGTTCTGGTGGTGTAGAGCCTAGAGCATTTGGCTGCTAACCAGAAGGTTGGCGGTTCAAACCCATCAGCCACTCCTCAGAAGGAAGATTGGGCAATCTACTGTAGTGATGCCACCTCAGAAACCCAAGCAGGGGTTGCTGTGAGTTGGATCCGACTCAACAGCAGTGAGTTTGAGTAGCCAATTATCCAAGGCTCACATAATGTATAGTCAATCCTCTTCCCATTGATGTTCAACATTGCTTCCATCATTTAGATTATATTTGGAAGTGGGGATATTTCTGGCTTTTCTATTCTGTTGCATTGACCTATTTGTTTAACTCTAGAGTTATAATCATCTTTGATGATGGCTATATATAGCCTTTTCTCATTTCCTTTTCAGGTATTTCTGGTATTAGTATTTTAAGGAAATACTGAAAGGTGCTCAGTAAACATTGGTGGAATGCATGTGGCCTGTTTGTTGCTCTTTCTGCCCCCCTGTGAAAGTGATACTTGCTTCAATAACTCAGTGAAGCACGTTACCATGACTTCAGATGTTCTCTTCCACAGATAAACTTTTGTCAAAGTGGCTGCCAAATTTTTCAGGCTTGGTTTGAAGTTGGTTCTCACTATTAATGAGAACTTAGCTTCTTGACAGTAGCTGTGACCTGTTACAGCAATAGGTCGACAGAAAATAAGCCAAAGTGAAATTACTCCCTCCTCCCCCTTCTTTTCCACTGGAGTTTGAATCACCACCCCACCCCACCCTTTCATTTTTTTTGAAAACTCCTTTCACATTGATCTCACTGATTTGATGACTCTAGCTGTTTGTCCTGGGAGCTCTAGTAGTGTAGTGCCTAAGGCACTTGACTGCTAACCAGAAGGCTGGAGGTTCAAACCCACCAGCCACTCCTTGGAAGG